ATTTCCTCACTACCTCACAATATTACTGTTTCCTGTCCTCATTACCTCACTATCTCACAATGCTACTGGGTCACTACTTTATTATCCCACTACCTGTCTTACTATTTAATTATCTTACTATAGCCTAATACTCACTTCATCATCATCTTATTATCTTCCTATTTCACTATCTTAATATCTCACTACCTCACTATATTATTGACTCACTAAATTACTACGTCATTATTCTATCGCCCAACCAACTGCATAAATAGGCTTAGAGGTTTAGTGCTCGCTTCTCGTGCCATAAATAACGGGTTCGAATCCGGTGTATGGAGGCGTGTCCTCTTTCTAGAATTCCTTTCTTCTACTGCATTTTTTCGACTGCTCTTTCCCCTGAAAAAATCCCTGCATCCTATTTCTTTCTTCACACCCTTTGATCTTGAGGTAGGTCAGATCGAGGGCCTAGTCTTCTCGGATAAAAACAGACCAATCTCGGAGGTCTCATTTACACGTTGCACACGTTAAAAATACTTGGTGGTTGGAAAAATCATTAAGACCAGGCCGCTACCAGAGCAAATTTAATTACAAATGGAAATAAACAAACAAACAAACAAATAAAAACAAACAGACAAACAGACAGAGAGCGCGTTCCTTCACTTGAATACAGGACAAACGTACCATAATATGTTGGCGTCGCCATATTCAAGACCTGTGACTTCCCATAGCAGATGGAGACAAAGAAGGAAGGAAGGAAAGTTGAAAGAAAGAAAGAAAAAAAAAGAAAGGGACAGAACGCATTTCATCACTTAAATACAGGACAAAATACCATATTGATGTCGTCCATGTACAAGACCTCTGACCTATCATAGCAGATGAAGGCAAAGACTGGAAAAGGGAAAAAAAAGAAGGAAAGAAAGAAAGAAAGAAAGGGACAGAGAACACATTCCATCAATTGAACATTGGATAAACATAGGCCTACCAGGTTGATGTCGTCCATTTTCAGGACCTCTGACCTGCCATAGCCGATGGAGACAAAAAAAAAATAAACAAAGAAAAAAAAGGAAAGACAGAAAGAAAGAAAAAAAGAAAGAAAGAAAAAAAGAAAGAAACAGACAGAGAACGCATTCCATCACTTGAACACAGGACACACGTGCCATGTTGATGTCGTCCATGTACAAGACCTCTGACCTGCCATGGCAGATGGAGGAAAAGACAGGAAAAGGAAAAAAAAAGAAGGAAAGAAACAGACAGAGAACGTATTCCATCACTTGAATACAGGACAAACGTAGGCCTACAATGTTGATGTCGTCCATGTACAAGACCTCTGACCTCCCATAGCAGATGGGGACAAAAAAAGAAAGAGACAATGAAAAAAAGAAAAAAGAAAGAAAGAAAGAAAGAAACAGACAGAGAACGCATTCCATCATTTGAACACAGGACACACGTACCATGTTGATGTCGTCCATGTACAGGACCTCTGACCTGCCATAGCTGATGATCATGAGGATGATGACGTGAACCACGTACGCTGTGAAACAAATCTTGGTGCCAATCTTGAATATGGGTAGGGACAGCAAGGCATTCACTGGACCTGAAAGTTAGGGAACATTGGTATAGATTACTACTATTTACGTCTTCTGTGCCTGTTATAATAAGATTTTCAGTAAAACCCTCATTAGAAATGTCTTTTTAAATGGACCTAAAAGTGCTAAAACGAAAGCAGGAACAGCAGCAGCAACAACAACAATAACAAAAGCAACAACAACAACAACAACAATAGCAACAACAACAAGCAAAAAATAAATAAATAAAACAAACAAACAAACGAACAAAAGCACAAAAAACACAAAAACAACCCCCCCCCCACAAAACAACAACAACAACAACAACAAAATCTAACCTCAGATCAAAACAAAACAAAACAGCAACAAGTAAAAAAGGCCACCCAAAAATTGATAAGATTGGCCCAAGGAGCGAAAAAGTGCTTGTTTCCTCGATTTTATTACTTTGACAAGCGCCTGGTTTCACAACGATGCCTCACACAATAATGTGTCGGGGGTTCAGTACCCTCAGAAATGATTAAGAGCCACTGTTGTAAATGGTATAATAAAAAATTGTATTGTTATCGTAACCTCGGCCTGCTACGTAGATATCATAATTCATAGAATTATACAAACATATTATTTATTGGCTTCCCAAAAAGCGCCTGTTTTGAAAATTTTTTCATTATAAAATACACACACACACACACACACACACACACACACACACACACACACACACAAAT